AGTCAAGCTTCTTAGAAGTTTGACAATATTGTAGAGCACTTTTCTTGACAGTAAGATATTTTAATTTTCATACACTCTACTTTCAAGGAACCCAAGAGTGCTTTTTCAAAAGCTACTGGACTTTTCTTAAAGCACTTTGGGGACTACCATGACCTGGATGACTGAGAATCTGCATAGATACTTTCAAGAGAGTGTGCTTGTTCCCAATGTTATTTGTGAAGCTTGTGAAGACTGAATGAAAAAAAAAAGGATTGAAAATCAAACTGCCAGTATTATAATACCACAAGGATTACATCTTTAGTTTAGAAAAAAGGAGACTGAGGGAACATAGGCATGACAAAATCTGATCAAGAACTAATAAAACTGATCTGAAGGAGATTTAGCATAACTAAAAGAAAGCACTTCTTCACACAGCGTATAATAAATCTGTGGAATTAGATATCATAGGTCATGATGATATCTTTTAAATTGGATGGCTTTACAAAGGATATTGGAGAAATTAACAGAAGATAGAACTGTCACCGGCTATTAGTCTTGAAACTCAAGATTACCACCAGGTTGCAGTACAGACAACCAAAAACCCAGCCATAGAGAAACAGGAACAGGAAAAGAGCCTATCTCCTGCTTGTGACCACCTCAGAAGCCAAAATGTGAAATAAAATACTGGACTAAGATGGGCTTTGGCCTTTTTCCACAGCACTGTACTTTTCTAATGCAAGTATAATTTCAGGATGTCATAGAGGAACTTGGATATAGTGGCTACTTGGACATATAATGTCATGGTTCCGACAGACAGAGACAAATAAAGCAGAACTTCGAGGCTTGCAAATTCCTCAAAGAACATGTTTATTTTTTATTTATTTTTTTTTAAAGTTTTTTTATTAATAAAACAGTTAAAACAAAAAAGGACATAACATGTCGTTCCAGTATATATAATCCTAACAATTTGTTCCTTGTCATACATATAATTCCTAATCTCTATATATACATATTTTCCTATATAATACAGTCTCAAATTTGTTTCTCTATATACTAGCATTCAGTTTTATATACCACAATCTTAACACTAACTTAAAGCCCGAGCAGTTCTTCCTTGACTCATACCAGCAATAAAATTTGTCCCAGATTTCAAAATAGTCCGTTTCTGTCTTGTCCTTTAATTCCATAGTAAGCCTATCCATATCAGCACACGATAAGATTTTATATAGAATCTCTTCTTCTGTTGGAATTTCTTTGTTTCTCCAGTTTTGTGCATAGGCCAATCTGGCATCCGTGAAAATATGTAACATTAAATAAAGTGCCCCTTTATTGTATTTCTGCGTAGTAATACCTAGTAAGAGGAGTTCTGGTTTTAGCTCTACCTCTGTCATTAGTATTTCTTCTAGCCATTTTTTAACCTTGTTCCAAAAGTCACGGGCTTTTGGGCACTCCCACCACATGTGATAATATGTCCCTCTTGCCAAATTACATTTCAGCACATAGGAGAAATGTTTGGGCCCATTTTAGCTAGTCTTGCAGGTGGGAAATGCCATCTATAGAACATTTTGTAAAGGTTTTCTTTATAGGATGTGGCCAAGGTGAGCTTCCTATTTCATGCCCATAGTTTTTGTCAGATATGCAGATCAAAATTGAGATCAAAGTCCCTGCTCCACGTTAACATGGTTTCTTTCACCTGTTCTTCGTACATTGCCTGATCTAACAAATAATGATATAACTTTTTAATCATTTTATCCTCAGTTCCTAATAGTATTTTATCCAACCCTATCAGTTCTATTTTATGCCTAATTCTTTTTTGTCTTTCCAATATCTCGCCTGTAATTGAAGGTATGCCCACCATTCTAATTCTATCCCTTCATCTTGAAGAGTTTTCCTGGATTTCAATTCCCCTTTCTCATCTAGTACGTTTTTATATGTTATAATCTTCTCTAATTGAATAAACTTTGGATGTACATATATTTCTAACGGTGAGATCCAACCAGGGACTTCAGTATAGTTTAGTTGCCAGGTTTTGACCCATACATCAATTAAAGCCCGTCTAATATAGTGCCTGCAAAAATATTTATGTGACCTATATTTCTGGTCCCATAGCATAGCATGCCATCCTATTTGTAAGTCATGACCTTCCAAACATAGTAATCTCCTGTTCTTCAAAAGTATCCAATCCTGCACCCATAGTAAAACTATGGCCTGATACTATTTTTCCATGTCAGAGAGGCCAAGTCCCCCCCCTCCTTCGAATCCTGCAATAATTTTAATTTGATCCTTGCTTTTTTTCCTTGCCAAATAAATTTAAGAATAATTTTGTTAAGGTTTTGAAAAAAATTCTTATCCAATTTTATGGGTATACATTGAAACAGAAATAAGATTTTCGGTAACACATTCATTTTAATTATGGCTATTCTGCCCATGAAGGAGAGCTGTAGGTTGGTCCAAGTATCTAAATCAGCTTTAATTTGTTCAATTAGTTTATCATAATTGTCTCTCTTAAGTGTAACGCATCTAGCGGTTAAAAGAACATGTTTATTAGTTACAAAGTATCAGCACATCAAAAGTGAAACCAAGTCTGAAGACACATGTAACAATTCCCCAAGGCTATGCAAGCAACTATGTTCCCCAATACATCTTTTTGGCGGGCTTTTTACACAACGCCCAGCCTGCAGTCTCAGGAGCAGCCGGTGACCTTGGTTCCCATGGCATAAAAGTTTATTTAGACTAGCAAGCATCTGGCAAGTCCCCCTCCCTCCTTTCTATGTGTCAACTGAAAATGAATAGGGAAGATGCTACAGCCATGCTCATTTTTAAAGTTGACAATATTATTTGCTTCATTCAGGAACTTTCACTAAAGATTTCTTTATTAATTATGTTTTGTTCTGGAAGAAAAAATCGGTATATGACAACTGGAAAATAGGTCAGGAATTGGAGAGATTTATTATATTGATTTGAGAACTTCTGCAGATTAACATATGGATGCCTCCATTTGCTCCATTGCTAGCTTAGGGGAAGTTGCTGAACTTGAAGTCTGGCATTTTGTATCCTAATTAGATCCACTATCTAGGAGCTGGAGGGCAATAAATTAATGGTCTGTACACAGCAACCAAGTTGATCATAGCAGATAGAATAACAGAAGTGCTCCTAATAACTATATTTTCCTTATGTTTGCTTCTGTTTTGATAGAGAAATGTGATGATTCAAACTTCCTTTCATTAACCAGGACACACCTTGTATTCTTTGTTACCACCCATTCCAGGCCTATTTTAAAGCAAGTTAATCTTTTTTACTGAAAGATATAACTAACAACCCTCTGGTTCAGGCATGAGTTATTTTTTTTGGCTTGTGTGTTCCATCAACAGCTAAATCTTGAAAATGACCTGAGTTTGTTTTAACTGTATTTACATAACTTTTCTTCATGTTCTTCCCATGGCTATTCTAGTCTGATATTTACCTATTTGGATCCTATATAATATCCTGTGAATAAGATTACAACAACTGCACACACAGAGCCCAAAAAAAAAAAAAGCCTTGTTGCATCCTTTCTGTGCCACTCTCTCTCTCTTTAATAGTTTCTAGTAATGGAAAGATCTAGCTTTACACAACAATTACACTCATTAAAATGAAATATTTAGATTGTCAAACTCAATTTCATTGAGGGCCACATCAGCATTGTGGTTGTCCTTGGGACCAGGTAGGTGTGGCCAGGGTGGGTGCAGCCTACTGGGTGGGCATGGCCAGTTCTACATCATTCACGTCAAGGGTGCCTGTGGGGGCCTGGGCAGGAATGGGACAGATCTGAGGGTCTCTGGCAGAAGGGGATGGGACCGGAGCAAGCGCCAAGGTACGGTCCACTGGAAGACCCTCACTGTTCCTCTCCTTCCTTCAAGAACAGAGTGGTGGGAAAATATTTGAGATGAGGGAGGGAGAAAAAACAGGCAAGAAACGCAGCTGGGGAGGTGTCACCCTTCATGAGGAATGAAGAAATGCATCATCACCTGGAAGGGCCAGCACATGGCCCTTGCCTACTTCACATATCTGGCTTGGTGGGCTTTGGGGGAGGGGACACTATGAGCAACATGAGAGTCGTTACCTGCGCAATGCCATCTAGCCCCCAGGCTGCCTAGTTTCGGCAGGCAGCAAGGTGCTCTCCTCACAGTGCTGAGAGGCAGAGCCAGACAATGCGAATCCGAAAAGAAGTGCGATGTCACCCAGCCCCCAGCCTGCCCAGTTTCGGTAGGCAGCGGGGTGCTCTCCTCACAGCGCCAAGAGGCTGAGCTGGGCAGTGCGAAGCTCGCCAGCTTTGCACCTTACTGCCTGCTGAAATTGGGCAGGCTGGGGGCTGAGCAGCATCGTGCTTCTTTTTGGATTCACACTGCCTGGCTCAGCCTCTCGGTGCTGTGAGGACAGCGCCCCACTGCCTGCTAAAACCCCTCCCCCGGAGCCCATCAAGCCAGATATGTGAAGGAGGCAAGGGCCATTTGCTGGCCATTTCCTGACGATGGTGCATTTCTTCATTCCTCACAAAGGGTGACACCTTCCCAGCATGCGCCCAGGGGGCGGGTCCAATGCAGCAGGGGTCGGTCCCTTGCTGTTTCCAGACAGCCTTGTGGAGCTAAGACTGAATGTGTTTCAGCATAGTTGGCCACCACAAAATTGTACATTGGCTCCCGGGCGGCCTGGGCCAGGGCCAAGGCAGCGGGGGCCATTCCCTCACTGTTCCAGGATGGCTTCATGGGCCACATGAAATCACGTCGTGGGTTGCATCCAGTCCCCGGGCCTTGTGTTTGACATGTCTGATCTAGATTAATTACATATAATAATTATGCAGTTGTGGGATTCAGCTGGTTCGCATCACTTCGGCAGAACTGGTAGCTAATTTTTTGTTGCCCAGGCCCAGAATGGACTTCTGGAAGCAGCATCCACACAGAGGACAGGTTGTTCACATATTTGAATCCCAGCACTGTAATTATGTTTCTGTTACTTGTGTTCTAAACTTCTTTTCTTTTCAGTCCCAGGTGAATCATCATACTTCCACCAGTAATGAGACGTATCAAGAACGTCTGACAAGATTAGAAGGTGATAAAGAATCTCTCATATTGCAGGTATGGAATTTATATAACCTTGCATTGATTATGCCATAACAAAGTTTCCTTCTGACAACTATAGGGTATAGCCATGGGATTTTCTTGGCACTAATTTGGAAGTAATTTAACCTCTTGTTAAAAAGTATGAAATACACTGATTCATTTGATAGTCATGGTGGCGTCAAAAATAATTTCATATTCATTTTCTTCAGATACAGTATATTTTGATTTTTTACAGAAGATGAATCACCTAGCTGCTACATGTGAAAAAAGTTTAGGCTTGTAGAATGGTTAAGCCATTTTATTCTTTTTTAGAGCAACTGAAAATAGTCTTAAGAGTCATACACTTGTACAAGTCAATGTAACTTATCAGTGCAGTCTTTTGTGTCCTTGTGTAAAATCAGCTTCCTATATTAAAAGCTTCTATACTGGTTCATCTTCCCTAAGCTAATCATTGCTAAAGGAGCAATAAATGAGAACTTCAGTTTTCTGTCTGCTGGATTTCGGCTATAATGGTGGATTCATCTACCATACTATAGATATAAGGGTGTGAGAGACAAATGACCTGGCTGGATTGTCCATTTACCAAAATTATTGCACTTCTTGTATTGGTTTGTTATCAATTCTGACAAATGAATGGCTATTTCCCATGCCAATCCTAGGAGCATTCTTCCTAAGGTACTCCCTTGGCATTTCACAAAGCAGTAATGGAAAATAAGGAAATACACAAACCATTAAATCCAATTATCTACTGGGCCTTGACTTTCAATAAAATCCTGGAATGATTTATGGAGATAGGTTCATGCAACCTATTGAAAAGTTCAATATCCTTCACTATGCCAGTTGTCTTGAATTCCTTGGCAATGCCTTGGCTGTCTGTTTTTTTCTTGTTTGTCTCACATTAACATGCGCCTCTTCTTTTTGTGGCTGCCAAGAATATGTTTCCTAGCTCAAATCAATGCTAATCTCTTTCCCCATGAAATAGGGCAGTGTTTCCCAAACTTGACAATTTTAAGGCATGTGGACTTCAATTCCCAGAATTCCACAGCCAGCGTTGCTGGCTGTGGAATTCTGGGAGTTGAAGTCCTCATGCCTTAAAATTGTCAAGTTTGGGAAACACTGAAATAGGGAAATAAGACTTATCAAACAACTATAGAATAAAACAGGATAAAACAAAATACAAAAGTTACAATTAAGGTGCAATGTGTTTTCCTTCATTTGTTTTTCCTCATTTGTTTGTTAAATTTATTTGCCAGCTATCTTGCTGTGGGGCTACTCGAGGGGGCTTAAAAAGGAAGAAATGAAAAGAGTATAAACAGAAGTAAAATAATAGAACAATAAAATAAACAATGAAAAAGAACACAATGAGAATACATCAAAAGGATGGATGAGTGAAGAGTAGAGAGCAAAGAGGGGAAGTGGAGTCTGTTATCCATCCAGCAGCCACCTCCAGTGTGGAACTTCCCCACTTGATCCCCAGGCCAATCAGCAGAGCCAGGTCTTCAGGTTCTTGGGGAAGGATGGGAAGGCGAGGACATCTTAGAGCAGTGGTTCTCAACCTTTTTAATGCCGCGACCCCCAACCGGTCGTAAGTCGAGCAGTACTCAACTGGTCGTAAGTCGAGGACTACTCAACTGGTGCAGCACCGTTTGCAGAATGGGACTTTTGGCGGGCTCAGCAGGGCAGAGACAGCCTGGACAATTCCTATTGGCTTTTGAAAGCCAATAGAATTAGCCTCTATTCAAAAGAGTCTATTCTATTAGCTTTCAAAAGCCAATAGAATAAAAGGGAGTAGCACAGCTAAGGAAAATGGGAAAAAATGGCGGACTATATTGTTTGGCAACCTCCATGAAATAGTCGTTTGACCCCAAATGGGGTCCCGACCCACAGGTTGAGAACCACTGTCTTAGAGAATTAGATGTTACAAAGGGGGTGCTGCAGCAGAGAAGGCTCTTCTTCTGGATCCTGATATTCAGAATTGTCTCAAAGGTGCTTTGGACTGTTTTTTTTTCCTTGAGGAAGACATTTCACTTCTCATCCAAGAAGCTTCATCAGTTTTGGCAGGATGGTGTGGGCGATGGAAGGATTAGTTCTGACAGGATGGGTGGTGGTGATTGGAAGGATTATATTTCTTTGCTGTCATCAGGTCGTTAGCACTTTCCTTGGGAGGTCTTGAGCCCACTTGGGGGTTCATCTGCCCTCAGAGTCACCTGTATCAGAGTGCAAATAGGGGTGGAATCTTCTTGGAACTGCTGAAAGAACTGCATGGGAGTCAGGAACTAGGTGTAGGTGGTGTCTTATCACTCCCCCAGAGTTCTTTGACCAACAAGGTTGAAAGTAGGCTCTCTCTGTCAGCATATCTAAGATGAGCTTGTCCTAGAGGGATTGGGCAGTTCATAAGTAGCCTGAAGCAATGCCATTAAGGGCTTTAAAGATCAGAACAGAAAACATTTTCATTTTCTGTTTTATCTGGACAAAAGAGATATATACAGTTGTTTCCAAACTTGGGAATTTAGCTACAGTATTCTTAATTTTCTCCAAAAAATATAAAGGGTTTTCCTTATTTTATTTGTCATGTTTCTAGACAGCTCATCTCCCTCAAGATTCTTGTTAATACCTTGTTTCCCCAAAAATAAGATCTAACTGCAAAATAAGCCCTAGCGTTATTTTTCAGGATGCCTGTAATATAAGCCCCACCCCAAAAATAAGCCCCAGTTAAGATCATCAGCCAGATGGACACATTTAGTATCGTATTTCTCCTCAAATAAGACCTAATCGGAAAATAAGCCCTAATGCATCTTTTGGAGCAAAAATTAATATAACATTTGGTCTTATTTTGGGGAAAATATGGGTACTAGAACATTATCCAAGAGAAAGACAAAAGGCCAGATCTATATGGTGATCTATTTGCCTCTTGGAGAACGTATCTTCCATGATAGAAGCAGCATCTTCCATGATAGAACTGCACTTCTTAAACTGTGCCACAATTTTTGTTCTATGTCCCTATTATTTTCATGAGCATGGTCATTTATCCTCCCATTGGCCTTAAATGTTCATGACAGTTAATTGAAGATGAAGTAATTAAAATATTTTTTGTGAATTGCATATCTATTTCCTGCTCTAGTATCTCACATTCAGAAAAGCAGGTGCAAGTTGTTAATGTTTCTTTTATGAGGCATTGCCTAAATAGTGCATCATGTAAAAATATGACATTATTTGCAAAAGTACATTTGCGCTCCAAGTAATAATTGATTCAATTATTTTGCAATAGCTTGTACAATTCGGCTAATGCAAGAGATTTTATAATGGATCTAATTATTATTAATAGGTGTCTTACTAGAAATATTTTTATTTTTATAAAATCAATTGCAGCATTTTTACTCACCGAATATGAAATACCTGAAGTTTTGTACATATAGTTCAGCACATATAGTAATAAAAACACGGTGTTCTGATTGCAACTAAAAAAGTTTAATGTTGATGTTCCTTCAGACTAAAGCAGGATTCCCACAAGTTAATTATTAATATCTTTTAGAATTGTACAGGCATTGTTGTGTCAATATAACAATGACACAACAGACTTTACATTAGTGGTGGTCAGGTAAAGCTAAAGAAAGCTGTAGGACACTAATGGGAAAAATCCTAAATTGAGAGGATACACTTTATGAAAAAAATGTGTAACCAATGTTTAATTCACAGTCAACAACTTTCTCCTTAAATCTACGTTACTTTAGAAAACCTATAATTATGTACTACTACAAAAGTACAAAAGGTATGTCACTAATCCATCGTTCTGCAATAGTTCCTTTATTAATACCAATCCTGTCCAAAAGAAGGAATGAGATAGCAAATCCACAAAGCTCTTCAATCAATTTATCCCAGATTTTAAGTTTTATAAAGACAAAAGAAATCTGAATGGTGCGAATCCCCATTTATCATATGATAATTATAATCACATTATGAACCACATTTTCAGATGGATTACAAAAGCTGCTTTTTTAAAAAAAAATTCAAAGGTATTATTGTATTTCCTAATTTCTTTTAGGATGGAGTTATTTATTTCTTAATAATGTTTTTCTATAAATCTCTCTGAGTAATAATAATTCTCTCTTTTGTTGCAATTTCATGGCATAAATTCTCTGTTCTTGTTCAAGCTTGTATACTTTGAACTGGTGAGAACTAGAACACTGACAGTACTAGGACATGTCTTTTGTGTACTGCGTTGTGTAAGTTAGAGAAGCTTTATTTGATAGGTGAGCTTTTCTTGTAAGAAGAACGGTTATTGGTTAGCTTCCTGAAATGTTTTTTGCTTTGTGTTTTTCCTGCTTTTAAGGGGAAAATTGGCAAAAGCTGAAAGGACTTTGCTTGCTCAAAGCCTGCTTAAAATATTAACAGGGTTTCTGCAAAGGCTTTTTCCTTCAAAGGAGTGTTTAATGTAAATACTGATGCATGGTCTTCAGGTCAATTTTTAACAGATCATTTCTTTTTTTAAATTAATTAAAAATCCTGTTGATTCATTTTTAAAGTGTGATGTAGTGACTTTTAAGGTGAGACTTATAACTTTCTATATACGTAACTTTTTTAACAATCAGTTTGTAATATTTGCAGAAGGGTTAAGAGGTATGTGATATAGAACACAGATCTAGGTCTGTGGAGAGGTGGAATTCAAATCCTTTCTCAGACATGAAATTAATTGGAAATCTTTAATATGATTGTGTCTCCCCCAAAAAACAAATTTGACAGCTGAAAGTGTTAGTATTTTTATCTGGTTACTATTGCCACCGTTGTTGCTACTGCTACAGTCCACCTCATCCTTATCCCTTAAATTACAGGTGAGTGTTCTAACAGACCAAGTTGAAGCCCAAGGAGAAAAAATCCGAGATTTAGAAGTTTGCCTTGAAGGGCACCAGCTGAAGCTTAATGCTACAGAAGAGATGCTTCAACAGGTAGGAAAACACGTTTTTTTTAGTGCAAGTTCTTCTTTAAACAGGCACACTTAATATTACTCTTGATTCTACAGACCCTTCAACTAAGGCTGAGATTAAGTATGTTTCCAATGATCAGCTGCACTTATTTGCTTTGTTCTTGAATTTTTCAGTCATATTGCATTATATTGCTATTCAGCTGGGATGTAAAGTAATACTACTGTGTACATTATTCATGGCTATCTGACGGTGAAAATTCAACAAGAGAACTGGATGTGGCTAAGAACCTGTTTGACTGGTTACCTACTCTTCTAATAATATAGAAATTCATTGTAACTGAGAGCTTAGAAGCTGTTTCTGCTCTCTCTCCTTTGTGGCTGAAATTACAGGAGATTTGAAGTGAATTTACAAGTTTGGAGACTGGTTTACATAAATGCTTAAATAATATATATATTTTAAATAAAATAAAGGATATTAATGTAAAATTTCAAAATGAAGTCTGTAAAATCATATGACAATTTTTTTTCAAAAAAACCCCACAATTTTTGTTCTCAAACCAAAAAGAAAACATTTTTACACCACCAATTAATTACTTTTATTACAAAGAATCTAAGCAACACAGCAGTTTATTGAACTATGGAAACTAACTTCCGTAGTTGCACAGTTAAAATAAACAATAACAACAAATGCTTTAAGAGGTAAGCATAATATAATATGGAGTATACAGGTAGTGCTCAATTTACAACCATTTGTTTAATGACCATTTGAAGTTACAACACTACTGAAAAAAGTGACATGATCATTTTTAACATGTACAACTGTTGCAGCATCCATATGGTCACCTGATCAAAATTCAGAGGTTTGACAATTGGTTCATATTTATGACAGTTGCGGTATCCTGGTGTTGTCTGATCAGCTTTTGTGCCCTTCTGACAAGCAAAGTCAATGAGGAAGCCAGATTTACTTAAGGACCATGTTACTAACTTAACAACTGCAGTGATTCACTTAACAACTGGCAAGAAAGGTTGTAAAATGAGCAAAACTCATTTAAGAACTGTCTCACTTAGCAATGGAAATTTTGAGCTCAATTGTGGTCATAAGTCAAGGACTACCTGTAATTAGCTGTTTGCAGGAAACAAGTATGGTGTAGTAGAGAAAGTATTGGATAGGAGTTGGGAAACTTAATCCTAGTCCATCCTCAGCTCTATAAATTGTTTGGGTGACTTTGGATAGTCAATCTCTCTTAGCCCAATATACCTTACAAGTTTGTTATTGGGAAAATAGGAAGAGGCAGTGCTATCTAAACATTGAGCTTTGTGAAAGGTAGGATATAAATTTAACAAGTAAATAAAATCAAAATTCCAATAGTAGATCCAACTGTTTTCTTTTATAACAAAAAGCATACAAACATTAGATTGATGCTACTAATAAAAACAAGGATTACTGAATTAAACAATAACAGTGATTATTTAAGTCCAGATGGGCTATAATAGATAAGAGTACTGGAGTCCACCTGGGACATTCAGTTTCAAATCTCTACTCAGTCATAAAACTAATTGAATGATTTTGAGCCAGCCATTATCTTTCCATCTAATCTATCTCATAGGAGTATTAGGAAACTAAGAAAACAACAACAAAAACTGGGGAGCAGATGAGATATTTTTTTTTACACAAAAGCTTGATCCCATTCTTTCTTTCTGAGATCGAAATCATAGAACATAAAAAAACATTCACCACAAGATAGCTTACCTTTCCCTCTGAAGTTTAGGTAGTCCTTGATTTACAGTAGCAGTTGGGATCAAGATTGCTGTTGCTAAGCAATATGATCATAAAACACGATGTTACACGAGTACATTGCTTAATGAAAGCAATCCTGAAAGTCCAGGTTGCCATTGTAATCCCAGGCCACGTGGGCCGTTTAAGTGGGGAAAGATGGGAATCCCAGATAAGGAGTGTGGAGGGAGCAGTGCTGCAGGCAGGGACTAGGAAGCATGGCTAATGTGGTGGCTATAAGAGAGTCAATGGAGGCCTCAGGTGGGTCAGCAGAAGCCACAGGAGAGTCAGGGGAGGCATTGGGCAGATCACTGGAGGCCAGTGACAGAGGGCTGGCAGCTCCACAGAAGCCATAGAATGGCTGACAGAGGCTCCAGGTGGGCTGGCAGACACTGCTGAAGAGCTGCTGGAGGCCATGGAGGGGCAGGGGGTACTGTGGGCAGTGGCACATTATGGAGTCCAGGAAGGCAGGGAGTGCCAGAGTACCAGAGCCCTATATTTATACAAACTCACATTGAAATTTTCACTCTTCTTGTTGCTAGTTTTTGGCAGCATTATATTCCAATTCAGCGAATGTAATTAAATAGCTCTCCAAAGTGGTCACAGACCATTACACAAGATTATTTTCATGCACTGTAAATTTGCAAGCATTTGTTTTCCGTGATGTTCCTTTAATGTTGACTCCAGCCACCTCTTTCCAGTCTTTCTGGTAAATTAAGAATTTATCTGTGGTAATTTAGGAATTTATCTATAATGCAGGAAGGAAATAGTAATTATTTGTAAATTAAAACTGCTAAATGTTCACTGCTGTCTCTTTTCAGTATGAAATGTGCTGCTTCTGGGTTGAAACCTATGTATTTATTAACCAATCCACTTGTGAATCCTATTTTCTTTTTTTCCTTTACCTCTCTACTGTAAATAAATGTTTTTATGTAAAATAGTATATGTGTTTATATTTTGAATAGGCCTGACCACATGGGGAACATAGGCAATCAGGAATCATACAGAAAAAAATGTGATTTCATAGTACCATCTTTTGGCTATTTATGTGTGTGTGTGTGTATGTGTGTGTGTGTATATATATATATGTGTGTGTATGTATGTATATGTATATTTAAACCTTTAAACTACTAATAGCTGAAGCTTTCAGGGTAGTATATAATAAAACACAATTAAAACGTATCCAATCAAATAAAATACTAAATAATTCAAACACATCTCAATACAGATACATACTGATAGTTGTCAAAAATCTAAAATAATATGAATTATAATGCAATTTTAAAAGGCTGAGAAAATAAAATAATAAAATAAAAAGATCTTCACCTGCCACCAAAAGGATGCTAATGATGAGCCTCTCTGCAGAGGGTATTCCATTTATTCATTGGCTGCCACCACAAAAATGCTCTTGTTAGTTTTGTCAGGGAAGCAGATAAGGCCTCTTTCTTACTTCATCTTCTGGATGAAAAAAAAAATCAATCCTCTCACATCCTCTTACTTTTAATGTTTGTATTCCACAGTGCTTTTAAAATTTAATAGTTCAAAGTTCATTTTGGGTTTATCAGCACTGTTTCTAGGACATATTGATACTTACTATCGATAGCTTTTTTTGTCTCTTTTCAATAGTGTATAAATATGGTTTATTTCTCTGTGTCTATTGATGGCTGACTTGTCTAAATGCTAAGCTTCCAGGAATCCCCTTACATATTTGGATTTAGCTTGGCCTGTTTATAGTTCCCCAGCTGAAACTGTGGTTGAATCTGTCCATGTTTTCATCATGTCCTCTGTCTGCTAGTTGGTATTCACGGTGGACTTTGGGAGTCTTCTGCCCATTGCAGTCCTCATTGTTGTCTTTATCTTTAGCCACAATGTGAATTTTGTGACAAAATGTTCAACATCCAAACATTGAGAGGAAACTTACAGGAACATTTATTATTTTCAGGAAGATCCATGGCGTACAGCCGGAATTGATGTCTGGGATAAAGCATAGCCCCATTTGACCCCATTCTTATTTTTATCTTACACAGTTCTAGCATGCATTCATTAGGCTTACGCATTGCACTGCAGAGCTTTGCTATTTTCTGCCATGTACATTCTTCAAGGGACATATGCCTATTTCTAAGCTTTGCTTAGAAACTCTGAAGCTACCATTTTATTCCTAATCTCTTTTCTTTTTCCAGGACATTTTTCAGTCCTGGAAAGGCCTAGTCTGGCCTTTGGCCCTGAATTTCCTGAAGGTTGACTCAGCCTTCCATCTTTCTGGGGTAGGTAAAATGAGGACCCAGATTGTTGGGGGCAATGTAAATATATATATACATTGCTTACTGGTGTACACTGCTTAGAGAGTGCTTGCACTTAAAGCGGTATATAAGTCTCATAAATAAATAAATAAATAAATTCTCTTTCATACAAGTCTAGCCAAGCTCAACTGGGTTGTGTCATAGAGGCAGGCAGGCCATTTTTACTGACATGACAACAAGACTGCCCCCCTCTTTTCAGGTTTCAGATCTCAAAAAGACATGACAAAAAAGACATTAGTTGTTGATGCTGTGCAGATATTATAATGACCAGTCGTAATTGCTGAAATGCTGCAGGAGGTTTTTAGTTTTTTAAAGCTCACCTTCTTCGCCCCTAAAAATGTTCTTGTTTAAGCTTTTTTGAGTTATATCTAAAATTAGTGTTGAATATAAATGCATAAGCCTATTGTTGAAATGGTTTGCTCTGGCAAATTTGGGCTTTCTCCTTTTCCTTAGATTTGCAATGTTTTAAACAGTGAAGAGGAAGGCTGTAGACCAAAGCCTATTACTACGTAATAACACAGTCAGATTCTTAGCTGCGTTTGATTTAAATGAGTAGTATCTCATCCCTTTTACATCTGAGCTGACACATGGTTCTTATAAAGTGCAGCTTTCATACAATGGTGATTCTTGCTGAATTTTGCAGAACAGGTAGGATTTTTTTCCAAACTTCTTTCATGAAGAGATAGAACATAATAGTTTGCACTTTCAACAATATATATTTTAATAAAGCATATATACTCTTTTGGACTGTTTCATTGTAGTATAAGATTTTCTGCTTTGTTTCTGTCTTCTAAATTCCTCATAGTTGGGGATTTTGCTGCATTTTCAAACTACATTTGTTAAATAATTTTATTTTAAATAAACTTAATATTTCAACAACAATGTGCTGTTTTGGAACTTACAACTGCAGTATGAATCTTTGCTGCTGTTCTATACTTTCTATACTAT